ATAGTCTATGTAACGATGATTGTTTCTAATAGATAACTGCTGAGAAGAGTGACAAAAATCATAAGAGTTTCTCAAAATAATGCTAAAGTTACTATGGTTATGCATGCGAATGTCGGTGGAGATAGAGTGAAAATCTATATCCACATCCACAGCCGCACCCACACCCACGCTGAATAGATATGAGCAGTCAAAACAAACTTGATCCAATCGGTCATCCGATAAGCTTTTTAACGCATCGATTTAAGGTTGCCGTTGGGATCAAAATTTCAAAGGGACGCCTAGGATTCTCATTTTTCGATAGATCGATGGCTCAATAGTAGGCCAGTAAAAAGCGGAGTTTTCGAACAGCCGAACGATTTTTATCGAATTGATAAGAATTTGATTAAAATGAAAAGGATTTTTTCCTATATATGCCTAATTGTCGAGTAGTCGAGACCTATCGAATAAATACAGACGAGGAGATTCAAATATGCGTACTTACGATTAACATTCGTCGAACATCTAAACTAAATATGAACTATTGTTGTTCTATCAAAGTTATCTTTTCAATTCTTAAAAGGATAACCGTCGGTTAACCGACGTTTTTTGACGATTCGAACAACATGGGATGAAATTTATTATATAAGATAGTATGAGTGAGACCTCGATGTATAAATTATACATCGAGGTCTCATCCTACCATCTCATATATCAGATTTCATCCGTTTTGAACATCGTATTGCCAGCATATCAATTTCTCAAAAAATCGACGCCGTTCTCAAATTTTGTGCAAAAAAACAAATATTTTGAAGAAGGTATATGTTGACATTGCGAAATTCAAAAGAGATGCAATTTAATATACGACATAGTCCAAGTGAAATCTTCATGTATACAAAATGTAGGTGTGGAAGTTTATATTATGTTCATCCATATCCACACCCCGTCACCCACACCCGCTTCAAAAGATAATATTATGATGAAGTTTTACTTGAAACAAAGTCGTCCAAGACTGTATATGTCAGATGTTCAGATTAGAAATTTTTGCTCCTTTTCCTATATTAACTTCTTTTTCTCTATGTAACATGAATATTTTTTCTGATGATTATTCGAAACAAGTTTATATTCAATAATTAAATGATGAACATTTTCACAATCAAATTGTCCAGCAATAATTTACAAACTCCAATAAGAAAAATACAACTAGTAGTTCATAGAAATCTTGTGTTGAATTACTCAGTAGAATCTAAAATTCAGTTGAATAAAAATATACTCAAAAGAGAAGTCTTTTAATGAATTTTTGGATAGAACTTATATATATATAAACACAAAATAAAATTATATCTATATAAAAATGAAAATAAAAACAATGAGATAAACTAACGTAATCTATAAAATGAAAAACAAGCAAATTTTTATTGCATTGTTTACAAATAATATAGTCAAGCCTTTGTTTCAATTGAAGTCCAAAGTGTTTGTCCTTGAATTATTGACAAAAAGTCAAATCAAGATATGGTATGATATACAAAAATAGACTCTTTTTGAACATCATTGCGTAGTAAGAGCAGACGATTCATATCGTATTTCAGTTATTACCGATCAATATAACCATAATGATATATTATCTTTATATTGCGGAAATAAACATCATTTTAGTTGGGTAATACCAACAGAAATCGTTATCATCTATGCAAACAATCTATTCATAGAATGTTTTTTTTTGTGATATTTAGACTACATAGAAATGAATCGATCATTTAGTTAATAACTCAATACATATATCTGCTGTTCATTATATTCAACAGACAACTGCATTTGTATAATTTTATTGTAGAAAAGTATTTTTTTTTTGCAAATAGATTCATTTCATACATGAGTTTTTGTTTTTGATAACAATAAAATTTAAATGAATTAAAATTTATATGTATTGGTGTTGAACAACAGATAANCTCTGTCATATATTTACAAGTAACGCTAACCGACAGCCGATTACCTTAACCCTATACTGACTTAGTGGTCTGAAAACAGATGTCCACTTGCGTCAATCTATCTGTCTGTAACACGAGGTACCACTGACTGTTTTCGTAGTACAAAGTACCATAGACGTGGTATAAGTGGCCATTTTCATAGTACAAAGTGTCATAGTGAAGGTACAAATGGCCACTTGTCCTATGCCTATGGTACTTTGTAGTACGAAAACGGTCATTGGTACCTCGTGTTACAGACAGAGAGACACAGATGAATTTCGGTTTGTAGATCCTAGCCTTTCAGTCTAGGGAACATCTTTATTTACAAAGATAATGTAATCAGAGAATGAAGATTGCACAATGTACCACAACGATTAACAGGAAAATTTACATACATACATACACAAGCACATTCATTCTTGCACATACACTCTTTTTGTGTACCATTCCACACATGACCTACTTAACATGACTCAATAAATGAACCAAGCGAGCCGTCCAAATAAACGACATAAGCTTTATTTATGAAAGGCACATCAGTAACACTTGACACATTCTTATTACATTCCAGATAATAGAGATCATCTTTCTCGCAATCGAAAGAAATGTAGTCACTTATGCCATCTATTATATAACAAAGACAAATGCAACGTAAAGCTCGATCTGAAGGAAAACTTATACATACAGGAAACAATCATCCGTAGTCTGTAATGTTACAAATATACGAACTAAAAACTCGGGTTCTCGCACGGCAATGAGCACCTTCTTATGATGGAGGACACACACATACACATAAGAATGCATCTGCTGACGGAAAATCAAAGTATGTGCCATCATTTTGATAAGGCTATGAAGCACATCAACAACCGATTGGTAATATTGTTTGGTTTGCTTAAAAAGAAACAAATCAAAATCAATCACTTTACATTCAAAACAGAGTGTGGGTGCGTGTAGGTGTGGGGTGTGGGTGGGTGTGTAGGTGTGGGTGTGCGTGAGTGTGTGTTGGATGTAGTTGAAAGATATCAGCATCTGCACCGACACGCACACCCATCCCCACCCCATCCCACACCTGTACCCACATCCACGCCCACACCCACGCCCACACCCACACACCCATACCAACGCCCCACACCCACACCCACTCTCACCCCACATCCACACCCACACCCACAATCACTCCCATATTCACGCCCAGGCCCAGACCCACACCCAGATCCAGACCCCCCAAACAACAACCACCCATACCCACACCCTTATCGAGTATATAGCAACACTAATAGAAGAAAATCGGGCGCACTCAAACGAAAAAACATACTCGCAGTTTTAAATGTACAAATAAATAATAAAATATTGTTTATATCAGTGACAATTTATAAGAATCATTTTAAGCAACAGAATTCTTTCAGTTTACAAATGACATATTAGGACAACAAGTCTACAGGATATACGTGAGGTCCACATTTTAGCTTCTTTGGAGCTGCGCTAACAAGCTTTTTTCCAATGAGATCTTCTTCTATCAATAAGCATAAAACCATGAAAATGATAGGCGAATGTAAGGTGTCGTTATCATTTTTTTTGCTGCAACCCACACTCACTCATATTTTTCTTTAACCATGAGCAACGTTATTTGTTTCATGCAAGAAAATATAAATGACACTTTTTAGTTATGTGTACATCAATATAGTCTATTACGTTCGTCATTACAAGTAATGAATTTGTTCTTTTTTGGAAGTATCACTATGTTTCAATGTTATCTCCTCTGCAATATTCACTATACATAAATCACTGAAGCATATCGTTTTCATGTGCGACGTTCGTATCTTGTACAGCCACGTTCATGATAGAATGTGTATTCAGGAAAAAAGGGAGAAGAATGAATATATCTATAAAGAGTAAGAAACGTGTAAGCATGCATAACTATAAAGGTAAAAAAGAATCATTTGCAAAAAAACAGGTAGACGGTGTTGCATACTTATTATCAAGACAAATTAACAAAAAGTCAGTATTCAGTTTTTTTCAGTATATTATTTTTTATTGTAATGAATAGTGTTTCGAGTAGAAATGAGCTTATTAAATCATACTGACTTGGTGTCCATCCATTTAGCACGATAAAATACGATTCAGATAGGGTGTGTGTGGGTACTAGCAGAAGTAAGACTCATAGTCACACTCTATATATCGGGCTTTCTGCGTGAATTTCATGTTTGAATCAAGTGATAGGCAAACTTTTCCCCCTTGCTTTAGCTATTGAATTGAAAAGAGTGGCTGGTGAGGCTCCAGTAAAAATGATTCAAGTTTACCTGAAAAAGGATGTGGGTCTCAATGAGGAAGATACTAATATCGACCCATATTCACTCCAAATTGTAATATACATAAGAGAAAAAATTAAAAAGATTCTAGAAGAACTAAACTTCACCAAAAGTTTCCTAATCTGCCTTTTTACTCATTCTACTCATAGAAGTCTTCTATTATTAACATCCTTTATTAACCGAGATTTCTAGTGTGTAGCAGGCTTTACAAAAGATAAATAAAAGCTCCTGCTGATTTGTATCGCTTGTCAGCATATGCTTTCTACTCAGTAATAAGCATAGAAAGCAAAAGAAACTCTCATCATTTACTTCTGACACAGATATTTGTGTGTATGCTTAATTTAAATATTTTGTTTTGATAAGCTTTGTTGCAGAAAAGGGCAAATGAATGACACACAACCCTTGCTAAGTGCATCTAATAATGAACGCAAAAAACAATTTTCGACCAACAGGTATAGTCGAATATTTGATTGTCTTCGAGCAAAAATCTAGCATATGTCTGATATTTCATAGCTTCTCTGATTGGCTCCTATGCTTCAGTAGGAAAAAGAACGATAATAAATATATAAGATTGGAAGATAACACTGCACATGATGAAAAAGATGAAGCAGTTGATGTTCTCCGTTTGGTAAGTGTGTTCAGACAAAATACAAATTGATTCATGTATTCGATTTTATTGTAGTTTCGGTTTGCAGATCGCATCGATTTCGTTCTAATATCTATTACTATGTGTTGCATAGTCTTAGAGATGGTTTGTACTCTTGTTTATCGAGCTGCCTTTGGCTGGCTTACGGGAATGTTTTTTATAAAATCTTTTGGTGATAATTGTAATTATCAAAACGAAAATTTAACAACTTTATTTAAGAACAATACTACATATACTCAAGCAATCGAGATCAATGAGTTCAACAGCACTACGTGGTTTAAGTAATTTTCTCAATGTTGCTTTTGATTATTATATATTTCTTTTATTTTTCTTTAACATTGTTTCATTTAGGTATCGTCATAATAATAATGTAAGTTTATCATTAAACTTAGCTACATCAATGTCTTCATTTCGAGAAAAAGTTATGATGATCATTTATTGGGTATTAAGTATGTAAAATGAGCATGACTATTTGATTTAAAACATATTTCAAACTTTTTGTTTTTATTCTCTGTTAATCAAGTTGTAACTACTTTACAATTTATGTGTGGCTCGGTTGAATATTTTGTTTGGAGCATTAGTGTGAAAAGACAGATATTTCGTATGAATGTTTTCCTTTTTCAATCACTTGTTCAACGTGTAAGTCAAATATATTTCTATTTACGCAAGAGATATCTTTAGAATTTGATTCCGGTCTGTTCTGAGAGCTTCTATACAATCATAAAATTTTATTTACCTTCACTTTTAAAAATTCACACCACTCGCACACTCATCCACACGCAGCCAAGTTGAGACCGAAATGCAATTGCCTGTTTCATCTGTGTGAAAACTTTAAAATGATCATGCAACATTTAAATATACTACCTGAAATAGATAGAACTGTCCGAATGTGCCAAATATTACGTGCTTACTCTTCAAATTTTCACTGTCATGAAAAAAACTAGTGAGTCTCCGCTTAACTCCAGTCAGACTCGATTTGTAGCTCTCAAACCCACAGCCATACCTACAATTACCAACACCCCAGTTTATAGAAAGAGTTTCAGAACTTGTAGACTGTAAATTATCAAGATTCTAAATTTTCAGAATATTTGAATATTTTGCAATACACTTGTAATAGTTCTAATTTTGAAAATCAGTTATCTCTGAGATACAAGCTCTACGAATTGTAAAACCATTCACATAAGTGACTGCATGTGTGTAGAGATGTGCTGAGACTATAGATTGGTTAATAAAGATAGGAATTTTTCTTTGACGAAAATCTCAGACTTTACTAGATTTTTCCTCAGAATTGCTTACCTTGAATTTATCGTGCGAAAAATATAACTTGACAGAGAGGTAATGCCAATAAAAGGCTGAATACCAACCAATCCCGATTATAATCTGTCTTTTTATATTTTGTTTTGCCGAGACTATTCAAGGCTTGGTTCTTAACTTTCATGATCGATCTACGCAGTTGTATTTCGTAGAAGATGAACTCCATTGATTCTTACACATGAGGCTTTCAGACAGAGGCAGTCTCAAAAGTACTAAAATCTTACAGAAATCTCTAGAAAATGATTTAAGAATTGAAAATTCCATAACTCTGCCCAGTATGAATAAAGAATAAAGTTCTTAGAGAGTTATTCCTAGAGTACTATTTAGTATCAGTAGAGAAAAATCAGTGAAACTTCAATATGACATAAAGAAGGTGTCCTTCCCAGGTCAAGCATTGCGGCTATCAGAAACAGCCATAACCGGCCGTACACAGTGTATTTACGACTGTAAACGGCCGTATTTCGTCCATAGTTTCAGTACGCCATTCCTCTCTTATTACAAAGATAACGCATAGGCATGGTCGAGCCGATCCTAGGGTAGTCGAGCATGCTCTATCGATTGATAGGTATAAGTGTGGATCTCTTTCAAGTCTTTTACCCAGAACTAGAGAATCATGGGTCCCAATAAAACTTTACGACGGCTTTTCTATCTTATTATAAGACCAATACATAGGCGTGTTTAAGGCGACCTTAGGGCTATCAAATATGCTCTATTGATTCATTGTTATATGTAAGAGTCCCCGTCCATCCGAACACCCGATAACCGACAGCCTCAAATAACTCATGGGGTCAAAGGTAAAAAAAAAAAACATCCGTTCATATTTGAGGAGACCTTTCCTTTCTTGTTGTAAGAGTTCTTGATCATAGTAGCCCGGGAAGAACTAAGAGCACCCTCCTGTAGTAGCGCTTTTGGGATCGTAATGTGTCATGGTATGTTAGGGCTTGAGATCCTAAATGTATCCGCGTATAGTAGGACTTGACGACAGCTAAGGCATCATCAATTATATACTCGTTCCCCCGTTGTTATTCCTCTCAGCCCTACTTTAGAATACCATTATGCGATAGGCATGGCTGCTGGAAACGGTAATTGGAAACGGTTGACTTATAAAATGCCTTAAGTTGTTTTCCGGCCAAATTATAATGTCGTCATATTGCTACAGTAGCGGTTTACAGTGGAATTTTACGGTTAGTATGTACGGTTGACGTAATATACAGTAAAGCATCGTTTACGGTCGCCGTAAACAGCCACCGTAAACAGTCGACGTTATTGGCCGTATTCTGCTAGGTTACGGCTGCCGTAAACAGTTATCGTGTACAATTGTCGTTATTCGCCATCTTCGGTTAGTGAACGATCGTTTAGGGTCGAGCGTAATTGACCTGGGTTGTTGAGTGACAGTTGAAGTAACACGTTATATTAGATAATAGTAGTCAGAGTGAAGTAACCTTCGTTTTAAATCAGAGTATGTGTGGATATTATACGGATATTGTGTTGGAGTTCATCTATCTTTTTTGATTTTCCCTGACACATATTCAAACTCATTTACTTACACTCGCACCTAGACTTAGGGCTAAATTGTGTTGGATTTTAGAAAACACAGATAAAATTGAATTTCATGGATTTTAAGCGTTTCTCTCTTTTTATTTTTGTTTTTAGAACATTTCATACATGGATAGTAAGCCAATTACTCAATTCAATACTAAATTATTTGAGTAAGCTACTGACAAATTTCAAATCTGGTGTACCGACATGATTATGATTTATTTCTTCGATAGCAATATTGCAAAGATAGAAAAGGGCATTGGTGGGGAATTCATATTAGGGTTTGCAGGGTTATGCTGCTCCACTAGTTGGCTAATAGAATGTTTCGTTGTCGACTGGCAATTGACTTTGATTCTACTATGTCTATTGCCGTTAGTCACTGGTAGTTTATTTATGTTTTCTAAGGTACGTAAGGTAGTTCAATCAAATAAATCTATATAGATTGTTGCAGTTCATAGCTAATGAAGCAATAAAAGAGTTAAAAATATATTCGAAAGCAGGGCACATTGTCCAAGAAGTGTTCGGTTCGCTGCGAACTGTTCTTTCTCTCAATGGTACGAAATTCGAACAAAAACGGTAAACCAATATATTAAAACGCAATTGTGAATAAAATTCCAGCAATTAGGCGAAATCTATTCAACAACAATTAGAGACAAATGAATCCTGCTTACGAATATCATCTCGATCTCTCTCTTTTCCGTGAGACTAAGACAGAAGGCTCAAACGAAGAAATATTTAGATTATATCATCTCGAATTATCAAACAAATTTACTGGTGTTTAATCTCTTGTTTGGGGCTGTGACTCTTGATCCTGTGTTCGTGGAGATTTCATTAGAAAAACACGATCGTTTGTCAAGTTAGAAAGGAAAAAATCAGTTTAATGTATATCTGAAGATTGAAGTCCCTCAGAAACTTTCTGTTTCGGTTTAGTCTTAGCTTAAATGAAACCCAATTGATCGTACCGTTTCGTAATTTTGCAATTATTATCATCTCGAAACTCAAGTTTTTCGTATTAATCGCTCTTAAGTGAGAAAAGACTAAAGTTTGAAACTTTTTTTGAATCATTAACACTTAGTATAGTTTCCAGGCATAAATCTTTTAACCTTTATTTATTGAAATAAAAAAAAAACACAGAACTATTTTAGACAAATTAAAAAGAAAACATGTTGTGCCGATGAGAATAAATACTGATTGAAGAAATGATACAATTAATTGGATTTGGCTAAAGCTAAAAATAAAGAGATGCAAAACTCTCGTCAACTTTTTACAAATCATTTTTATCTTCAGCCAAAAAAAGAAGACTAATCAGAAATTATACATGTTGACTTGTATTTGATGAAATCAGATTAATACTTTCACAAAAATAGATGCTTCTAATATTCACCTATTTATATCATAATGTGTCAATGAATCTTTTAACACTTGACGCGACTGCTGCGGGATTTCGACCTTGAGATATAAATGGAGGTGAATCTTTTTTTTCTCCATAGCTGTAATTCTGAAAATTTCATAGCACCATTCACTCTGATGTAACACTGTTTGATATAGTTTTCTAGGTGCACAATGAAATTTAGTTTTAGACATAAGGCAAAGAGTAATAGTCAGGACTTCAAATAATAGATCAAACATCTTTACATTTGTTTAATAAGTTGAGATAATGTAATCTAAATGTTCTTTCGTGTTAAACTTCTTCGTGTTACGGAAAGAATAGAGCTCAAGATGAAAATTGTGAGCAGGATCTATTGATCTCTACTCTTGATAGAAGTTTTAACAAGAACAGTTCGTCGTTGAAATAGACTTCGACTAGCGGCTGGACTTCTGTCTATATCAGTAGTTATACTTATGTAATATCATCAAACATATTGCCATTTTTATTACATTTAGATACGAAAAAGAATTATATTCAACTCGGAGAAGTAATATACGTCAAGGTGCAATATATGGAGTTTTTATTGGATGGTCATCTCTGATGACATATCTAGTTTATGCAGTTGGTTTTATCTTCGGTTCTCTTCTTATCCCCAGCAAAGATCATCATAAAGAGAACATTATTAATATTCTTATCGTGAGTAATTCATGCCGTAAGAAAAGAATGAAATGAACATATGAGTACTATTTTAATGCAGCTTGTTCCTATCTTTGTACGATTTATTGGTGTGTTCAATTATATGGCTCCTTTCTTTCAATCGTTTTCAGAAGCTCGAGGTGCAGCAGTAGAAGTGTTTCGACTAATAGATGAAGTAAACCTGAATAAATTACGATCTTATATCGATAACAATGTTTTTTGTTTGTTCCTATTACATAGCCTAACAATATAGATGTTAATGAAAAATTAATATGGGAAGAGGATTCAGAATCTTTTTATAATATTGATGGTGATGTTGAATTTGACAATATTAACTTCACTTATCCATCTCGAAAAGATACATCAGTTCTATGTAATCTTTCTTTTATTGCTCGTGCTGGTCAGACAACTGCTCTTGTAGGTTCAACTGGCTCTGGTAAGTTTTTTGTAAAACAAGGACGTTCAAATAGGTGCAGGTGTATATTAATAATCTATTTATAGGAAAAAGTACATGTATATCACTTATCCTTCGTTATTATGAACCTTCATCGGGTCGAATCACAATCGATGGTCGACAGCTAACAGACTACAATGTCCGACAACTTCGACAAAGCATAGGAGTTGTTAGTCAAGAACCCGTATGCTTCTTTTTTTCGTCCTTCTTTTCTCATTGTCTATTTACTATCACTATTGTAATAGATTCTGTTTGGTATAACTATTTATGAAAACATTCGGTTCGGTAAAGTGAATGCAACACGAGCAGAAATTGAACAAGCAGCACGAGAGGCAAATGTGCATAATTTTGTTATGCAATTGCCGAATGTTAATATCAAATAACTATCGTTATCTACAGATATTTATCGTTTCTTTCTTGTTTAGAAATATGAAACACTTGTTGGTGAACGCGGTATACAGTTAAGCGGTGGTGAAAAACAACGTATTGCATTGGCTCGTGCTCTTGTCAAGCAGCCTAAATTTCTTTTATTGGATGAAGCAACAAGTGCACTTGATAATATTAGCGAAAAAATTGTCCAAGAAGCGCTAGATCGAGCATGCAAAGGTACCAATTATTTTGTCTGCCGCTTGTATTACTATATAATTATCTATAGGTCGTACAACTATTGTTATTGCTCATCGTTTGACGACAATTCAAAACGCCCATCAAATATATGTATTAGATAATGGAAGTGTAATTGAGCAAGGTACGCATGACCAATTAATGGCAAAAGAAGGAGGTAAATATCAGTCAATGGTCAAATGTCAGCAAATGAAAATAACTGATAATGATGAAGATGGCATCATGAGCATCGAAAAAATAAGAGAAGAAGATGAGAAGTCAATAAGTCTGTTGATATTCTCATTTTAATAGTCTTCACTATTTGTCACTTTTTTATTGAGTAGTTGAACGTTCTCGTATTCTTAGCAATAGCAATCCTATTGACGTGGACAAAGTAGAAACACTACGGAGATTACTTATAAAAATCATTATTAATACTGTATATTTTAGCAGAGTTCCAAGTCAGTGAGAAACAGATTTATCTTTTTACGACTCTTGTCAATGAATAGTCCTGAATGGATAATCATCTTAGTTGGTTGTATAGCATGTGTACTTAATGGAGCGGCTCAACAAGTATTCGCAATTTTACTTGCCAAAACACTTGATGTGAGTGATCTCTCTATAAAAATATTGTGTAAAAAAAAATTGACTATATATAAATATATATATCGTTTTTGTTTTTTTGGCTTATTGTGTAGGCATTCAAATATTGTTCGAATTCGGAACGAAATCGTCATGTGCTGATTACTTGTTGTCTTTTTTTACCTCTAGGAGTTGCTTCATTGGTTTTCAGTTTCTTTCAAGTAGAGTTACTTTTTCTGATTTTAATGAATGATTTTTTCATCTTTTTTACAGTATACAGCTTTTGCTATATCTGGGTCGCGATTGACACAACGCATTCGTTCAAAAGCCTTTGCATGCCTTCTTCGTCAAGAAATTGCTTATTTCGATCGATCTGAAAACAGTTCTGGTGCGATCTGTACTCGTCTTTCTTCTGATGCATTAGCCATCCAGGAAATGACTGGTCCGAGATTAGGAACCATATGTGAAGCGTTATCAATGATGTTCTTTGGACTTCTACTGGGAAGTTTCATAAGTTGGCAACTAACACTGATCGTTGTTGGTTCTCTTTTGATCATAAACCTAGTTACTTACACGGATGTGCGAGTACGTCTATGGATGAATCAACAATCAAATCATATTGTTCAACAAGCATGCACGGTAGTTATGTTTTAGTTAGTCAGGTTTTCGTTGTACCGGAAGCTAAAATATTGGGAATCGATTGATAAATTGAATATACTATATTCATTTTGTTTTAACGTGTGTAGCTCGCTATTGAAGTTTTTCACAATATTCGTACGATAAAACAACTGTCGATAGAAAAAGAAGTTTTACAACAATATTCTGACCTTCTTTATCAAGTATTTACGTTAGTCAATAGAAATTTACAAATATATAAATTTTTAACAATCATTCGTACTTCTTCATAGATTATCTTGGAAACCATCAATATTTTATTCAATAGCTATGAGCCTATGCTGGGTCATAGATAAATACATTTTGGCATTGGTATATTGGCGTACTCTTGTCCTTATTGAAAAAAACAAACTCACATCGAACCATATCATAATGTAATTGAGATCCTTATTGAATAATTTGGAGACAACATTTCATTCTCTTTTCATTTTTTTAGGGTCTTTGCTTTTGTTGTTTTTTCGGTCGAAGTTGTAAGAGTCATCAAGGCACTGTAACACTCTCAACTTTTACTTCCGTTATTTTTGCTTCTATTACTTTCATTCTAGGTCTAGTCGTATTGCTTCATCTGTTTCGGCTGCAAAAATGTTTTTTGATTTATTCGAACGAATACCAACTATCGATAATACATCTACAGAAGGACAAGAATTGGCAAGACAAGGCGAATCATAGCTCTTTTCTTTCAATCATGTATATAATATAACTCGTATAGGTTGATTTTCGTGGAGAGATCAAATTTAATAATGTAAATTTCATATATCCAACTCGACCAACATCTATTATTCTTAATAAATTTCAATTGGATATCAAGCCAAGTAAATGAGAAAAGTTGCGATTAAATCATTTTAATAAGTTTTTTTATTTATGGATAAGGTCAACGTGTCGCTCTTGTTGGTATGTTTGAATCAAATGTTTCTTTTAATTAAATGATGATTATGTAATAAAATTTTTGTAGGTACATCGGGATGTGGGAAATCAACAACTATTCAGTTATTGGAACGATTCTATGATACTACAGGTGGTCGAATAGTTAGTATTGTTTCAATATAAAATTTAAGCGATTATATAAAATTTGCTCATACAATCTAGCTTCTTGATGGTGTTGATATCCGATTACTAAACATTCATTGGCTTCGTTCTCAATTTGGTCTTGTTGGTCAAGAGCCAGTTTTGTTCGATTTAACAATTGCTGAAAATATAGCATATGGCTTAGAAAATATTCCAATGGAAGACATTATTAACGCAGCGAGAAAAGCTAATATTCATCAATTTATTAACCGATTGCCTCAGGTTAGAAAATACGAAATTATATCCATTATTTTGTATGATTTTGGTTTCAGGGCTATGAAACAAAAGTAGGATTGAAAGGTAGTTTTCTATCAGGTGGTGAAAAACAACGTATTGCTATTGCTCGAGTTCTTCTTCGTCGGCCTAAAGTTTTGCTTTTAGATGAAGCTACAAGTGCCATGGATTCACATAATGAACAAGTAAGATTGTCTGATATTTTTATTTATCAATTTCTGTTTTATTTTCATTTTTTAATTATAGCTTGTACAAGTAGCTCTAGAACAAGCTCAAACAGAAGACTCTTGTTGCACATCACTCATTATTGCTCATCGTCTTTCAACTATTCGTTCATGCGATGTGATTTATGTACTTGATGGAGGACATATCGTGGAAAGGGGTACCCACACAGAATTGATACAAAAACGTGGAGCTTATTATAAAATACTTACTCAAAGAAATTTTCAATGATCATCAGTGAATTGTTTTGAAAATCAATATACACTTTATTAAACATTAAGATAACTTCTTCTAAAATCTATCCAGATGTACTGTCCATTTCAAAACATAGTGGGCGCAAATAGTTTTTGAATAAATCAAGGATGGAACAAGCTAGAGAACTATGGTTTTCACCAATCGATAGAGGCTTTAAGGGAGCACAATTATATGACCAATCAGAGAACTCATCTTATTTTAAAAGTATTGCAGTTTCAAACTCTTTAAAAAAGATAGATGTAAAATTATGACAACTCAATAGCTTTTTTTATTTTCCATTGATGGATAGATAGACTAGAGTCTCTACTATCAATCTACATAAACCCGACTTTCATAACTACTATGGTTCGAGCGATGTTCTATTTTTGTTGAAGTGCACTTATCTCTTAATCTACTTGTTTAAGCAATCAGAAAATGGTTGTCAATAGAGTAAGACAACTATGACAGATCGTACGATAATGATCACTTTGTATGAAACATACTGCTACACGCAAAGATTTGTAGTATCCCATGTGAACATCACTAAAATAAAAGTGTAAAATTAAACTAGTATACGCCAAAAAAAAATTGAATATCTGTTCTTGCAATCTTTCTCAAACTAGATGTACATATATGAACGTTTCACGCTTATTGATGTATCATTGCCTATTCATACTGGGTAACAGAGAGCGGTGGGTGTGGATGTGGGATGGATGTGGGTGTATCTTCCATTCACTACACCACATACCCACACCTAAACTTGTTTCTGTTGTAAAACAGAAAAGTGAAATATTTATGTAAAGTAAAATTTAACATGAAAATGGTTTTTTTTCTCAATTTGTTCAACTGAAGCATATTTCAAGTAATTTTACCCTTGACATTATGCTTTTCTGTTCTCTGTTGTAGATTATTCAAACGAAATATTGATATAAATATGGATGTCGTAATTAACTTTTGTTTTACTCTGGATTACTCAAGTGAACAGTCTGGTTATACCATCATTTCATTAGTAGTCGGAGAGTGCAATCGATTTGTCGGAATTGTGTGCATTTATGGATTTGTGTAAAGTTGATGAAATGAGTATCTTCAACTTGAGTTACTTAAGTTAGGTTTCCAGTTCTTTAGTTGTTTCTATGAGCTTGCACTTTGTGTAGCTAGGGCCATGGGCTGTAAAGTACGTGTTTGGTTTGTACTCGATGATGTTTTGAGAGACTCCAATGAAATTTGAGTCAATTTCGGATACAGGGGAAGAGCTTGTGATGAGCCTCCTGCAATTATGATGTCATAACTTTAGGAATCAGTTTATGAAATTTGTGGCACGACACCTCTTCTACAAAGCCTTTTTTCTGGCTTATTGAAGTTAGTTTCGTACTGAACCAGCTTTGTAGGAAACCTAACCGGTTTTAGAATTCGTTCCGATATTTGAAGCCATTCAAAGTTCGGTACGGTTCTTCTTTTGTTTTCAGTGTACTTGCTTCTTAAAAACTGCTCAATAGTACTAAAATGTGTACTAGTCTGTTGTCATGGAACATTTTGAAAATGACCTTCAAGTTACAAGTAATATATGCTAAGTGTTTCTAAAAGCAACTAAATGAATTCGATGGTGTCATATGTCAGAAGATAAAACGAACTTCGATCTACAACACTAAACTTCTTAGTTCTTCGTTTTTTAGCCGAGTATGTAAATTATTGTTTCCTTGTAAATTTTTTATTTTCTCATAAATATATTCAATTTTTTTGAATTTCGTTAAAGCATCTATATTTGAATAGACTTTAGTTGTGATGATTTGTTCAAGTAGACTTCTTTCGTGTGAGTTAATTTGTATTATAGGTTGATGATCAGGTAAATATTTTTTTAGTTTATTTAACACTCCATCAACAGAGTTCGCTTGATGAGAAGGTAGCTGAAGAATGATAAGAATATGAAGACCCCAAATGATTTCAGTTATAACATGAGTTGCGTATGGTATGCAGTTTAATGATTGTATGGGATTCGTCAAACGTCTTCTATCATCTGCAATGGATTCTCTTCTTGATTCATAATAGATATCAAGAAGTCGAGTGTTTTTATCAATTATATTAGGATAGTTGATGAGCGAAGCTATTCCAGTTGCATGAGTAAGTCTCAATAGTATGCTTAATAGTTGTTGACAGTTCATTTCAATAAGTCTGAGTAAATTTTCTCGTTCTGATGCTTGTCCGTTAATTAATCTGCACTTCACTGGGTGACTTAATGTTTCATTGCGAATGTTAATCTGTTTGCCTTCTCTATTAATGATTTTATCTGTACAAGTAACGTGAATCGAAAATCGATTCACTGGGCCCTAGACTAACAGAATCCATCCATGCAAACGTTTGAGCAGCGAACAATGGCGACTATTTCTTTGAGAGATCCTGAAAATTCCGAAGGCATAGCCGCATAAGTTCAAGACAGACGACAATAGCGCATGAAGATTAAGTAAAAGTGGGGCACGGATGCGACGAACACAAAAAAATGACAAGCACAGTAACGAAAAAAAACGCATCCGAAGTCAACGTCAAAAACAGGTGCGAAGCAGTGCCCAAACCACGATTCTCGCTCAGGGGAAGCTCTCAGCATTGTCGCCAATACAATACCCTCTTAACTAATTCCTGCAGAGAAGCAAGCGGTTGAGTCCCTCCTGGCTATTGGATCATGCGTTTCCGAAACTTAGCGATGGAGGGATAGAAGTTCCTTATTGGAACTCCGCCTGCCCCCTTCACTTGCTCTATCATTATATACGGCTGCTCCGCGTGCCACTTCAGTGGATCCAGCCATAATATGTATCACAGAAATGGTCATTTGTGCCATAGAAATGGTTATTTGTGCTACGGAAATGGTCATTTGTGCCATGGAAATGGTCATTTGTGCCAGGAAAATGGTCACTTATGCCATAGAAATGGTCATTTGTGCCAAGCTCTTGTTACAGACAGACAGACGGACAAACAGACACAGGTGAATTATAGATTCTAGACCCTAGCCTTTCAGTCTAGGGAAAATGCATCGTAGAATGATCGAATAGTACCACACTGATCAATAGCAATACGTTCTATACTATTTTCGGATATCTCAACATCGTTTGGTATTATCTCAGATGCCTTCAATAGTGCAGATGAAATTTTATCCTACAACGATAAAAATGGCATTTTATTTTTTTCCGATAAGATTGATTACAGCAAAAGAATAATATAAAAATAAAATAAAGAGCTGTTTGTGTAATCCTTACACGATTTAAAATGTCAAAATATTTATTATCGAAAGGACGGGAGACGTTTTGCGTTGAAATCGGCCCCCCTAGAAAGCACTTATAGTTTTACATGAAACTTTCAGCAATTGTAGGGTTCATAGTCAGTAATCATTCCTATAAGTTTCAGCTTGATCGGTCAACCTTTTCCGTTACATTGGTACTCAGCCATATAGGCCGTATTGAACCTTCTAAGGATCAAAGAATCACTTATTTTAGACGAANGCATTTGAAATTTTGCTGTTACTAACGAAAACAATGGATCACAATAGAAGCCGAACTTCAAACTTAAAATTTTCAAAACGAAATAGACGCCCAGCGGGCTTTTATTCTGAGGAGAAGTTTATTAAAAATCAACGAAGGAAGTATAAAAAGTTGATTCTGTTATCGTCAGATAAAGCTCAGAATTTTGCATCTACTCTGAGTATTTTCAGCCAGTTCAAATCATCTTCAGCTACACAATCCTTGAGAATCCTTCAATTGGTCAAACGAAAAACAGCCTTGTTTCTCTAGGCTATAATTGATTGTCGATTTTAACCATTTATTTGTGATTAGGATCCCAGGTTCTATAAGATTGGAAGATAAATAGTCGGTTATCTGAAAAAAACTTTCAAAATTCCCGTGCCCCCCCCCCCCAGGTGTCTGTGAGAATCGAAAAATTTTATTTTGAGCTATTTGAGAATTATATGATCCATTCAATCTAGAACCAACTTCTAATTCTCGATGTATAGAAATTTTCGAAAAAAATGGAGTAGAGAAAAAGGTCTTATGCGAACTGATCCTTTGATTTTTCAGTCAGTTATGCCATATTATCCTTAATAAATGTATGCCAGCTACGTAATGGTGTAATATCGACAGCATTATGTATTGCATAGGATTCACAGACACATCCTGGTATTTGACTTCCATCTTTTAAAATGACTTTACCAATACTTAATGGTGATGGAATTTGTGCTGTAAATGCACCAAATGATGATAACGGCATTTCCCATACTTCAACTTTTATTGATGTGCCTTCATCAATATTTTTTGTAGTTCGAACTAAGGCTGGCTTTGATGGTATTGTTGATAATTGATATAATTTATAAAAAGGTGCTGTTTCATCTTCACGAATAAATTTACTTCTATATTCAAGCATTTGCTTTTCAAGTGATAAACCACGCATATGTAAACCACATACAACAACAAATGTTGTAATTTCTTGTTGTGTTTTTGTCGTCATTGCTTGATATTTTAAAAACAAATCAACTAAATTCGATATAAGATGTTCATTATTATATTTCGAAAATAATGTTATACCAAATGGTACATCATCGGTAGCATCATCGGATGATATAGCAATGGCACATAAATCTAATAAATTACAATGATTTGTATAACGTCCCATATCATTATTTGTTTGAATAGGATTTTGTCGTACTTGTTCACGTGTCCATGTACCACCCGATGTTGGCATAATGAGAACAGCATTTTCTAATTGTTGATGTGTTCGACATTTTAATTTTTGTAATTGATGTATAGTTTTAAATAGGAACGAAGCAGTATAATTCCGATTTGTACCTGAGCGTAAAACATTTTCTGTTACAGGAAAAATTGCATTCGGTTGTTGATGATTAACAAATTCATCTAAATCTGACTAACGTTCGGCTATCCAAGGACCACCATATAACATCGATGCTGCTTCAGCTAAATCGTGTCCGTCGATATATTCAATAGGTATATTTAAGTGCTGAATACGTTTAATTGTTTTCTGCCAACCTAGTTGATACTCAGTAGTATAGGGACCGAAAAATTCAATTGATGGATCACTTATCAAACAAATTTTATCCGGTAATATTGATATTGATGATAATTGACGTGGAATATCACGTGACCATGGGTCTGTTTTATCTATTCCACGTACAATTGTATCAATCAATATAGCATCATCAAGTTCATGTGTAAACAGTGTTACACAATCTAAACTTTGACAAGCTGGTACCACACCTTTGGTTGGCCAAGCGCCGAATGATGGTTTTAAACCAATTAAGCGATTCAATCCGGCCGGTACACGTCCGGAGCCAGCCGTATCTGTGCCTAATGAAAATACAGCATGACCACGTGCAACAGACACAGCCGAACCAGAACTCGATCCACCACTAATTAATTCTGGTTTCAAAGCATTATGTGTTTCACCATAAGGGCTTCGAGTACCAACAAGTCCGGTTGCAAATTGATCTAAATTTGTTTTACCTAATGGAATAGCACCAGCTTGAATTAAACGTTGAACAACAGTGGCATTTTCATTTGGTGTATATATATATTTAGAGCAGCCAGCTGTGGTTGGAATATTTATCAAATCAATATTATCTTTTATAGCAAAGGGTATACCCCGTAATGGTGTATCGTTTGGATTCATATTTTCAAGACGATCCAAATAGAATTCAATGTGTTTTATAGCTGGTGGTACAATCCAAATATTCATTTCTCGATCATTGTCTACACGTTGAATAATTTCATTAATGACCTCATTTGGTTTTAATCGATTTCTTTCATAGGCATCTTTTAACCATTTGATTGTTAATATTTTTGGTAAATTTATCGTTTTCATTTTTTTTTATTTCATCCATAATTACCTAAAAGAAGAGAATCATTTTCAAATAAAGAGTGACCCATAATGAATGGCTTCGTTTTACATTTTATTTTTTCATTATCTAATACGTTTTATTAAAAAACAAGATATACCACAAGATGCAGCGTGAAAAGTTCTACAATTTACATAAGACCGCATATTTTATAGTTGCACTTTTTGTTTTCAAAATGGACAAAATTTTGAGCGACCAAATTTCGACCGTGTGAAAAAGATCAATTTTTTTAATACAGGACGAATTCATTCTTTTTTAATTCATCTTTTCATCCGTTGACATGCTTTCTCAAAAGAAAAGCAAAACTCTATGTGATCAATTTTCGCACGGTCAAAATTTGGTCGCTCAAAATTTTGTCCATTTTGAAAACAAAAAGTGCAACTATAAAGTAAGCGATCTTATATAAATTGTAGAGCTTTTCACGCTACATCTTGTGATATATTTTGTTTTTCAATAAAACGTATTAGATGATGAAAAAATAAAATGTAAGACGAGCCCATTCATTATGGGTCACCCGTTATTATTTTGACACATTTCTTAATTTTTTCAACAGTTTTATATAGCTACATGCAGAACGTAAACTAAATTGTTTAGTATTACTAATCATTTTGATTTAGATTACTATTGTTAAGATTATTGGATAATGACGATAGGAAAACTCTGAATAGATGAAACGATTTTTTAAAAATTAAATTACAAATTCAGACAAGAAAAATGAGCTATTATCATATGCTGCTAATTTACATACCCAATTGCTGTACGAAGAGTACCGTTCGATTTGGTGATGTGAAATTACAAAATATGTTTTTTTTCTAACCTAAGCTATTAAGAAGACAGCACACATTTTTTGCATCGGCAATGACCAATCTAGATAGATAAGAGAGAATGTCAGCACAACGAAAAAAGTAAATGCAAGTTACGACGAAAAAGGTGGTTTTGTTCTATTCCTTCAACTGAAAGGCTACAACAAGCTTTAGTATTATTAACTTATGAGCATTATGAGAATATAACCATATGCTGATATCTTCTCTATAGCGAGTAATCATCAATTAATGTTGTTCGTTTTGAAAGTATGCCCTTCTTTTGATATTGCCCCTTAACAGTTGATTCAAAATTTGAAAAGTGAATCTCAACTCTTCATTCGTTTATATCAGCGATTTTATTTTGAAACTGGTTCTCAATTGAATTAGCCCTTCAACTTCTGTGCTAGATATGGCATGTCACTAATGATCACTAAACTTTCTCTCAAGCGATGGCTTTAATGAATGATTCCGAATCACTAACAGTGTCAAACACGACTTCTTGCATTTGTATCATTTTTAGGTCGGCCTGGTAGATAGATTTAACTAAAAGTTCTGAGATTGTTAAAAAAAACTATAAAGAGAAGGAGAAAGTTCCAATTTTATTTTAGTAAATGTTCAAAATAGTCACCATGATTACTTATACAAAGTTCCGTTCTTCCCAACAATTTGCCAAAAATTTTTAAAACTTTTTCTTCTGGAATATTTTTTATTATCTTGGAAACCCCACGACCCAATGATTTTTCATTCGGCTGATCATTTAAATTTCGCTTGATGTAATCATTTAGCCAATAATTATGTGTTGCAATGTCAGGTGAATATGATGGAGGCGGCATTACATTGAAACCTTCTTGGGGTGTGGGTGGGTGTGGGTATCAGTCATTGCTAGTGTGCGATTGTGGGTATTCTTTTCTTTTATCGAAATCCACACCCACACTTTTATTCATTATTTGTTTTCTTTTTATCGATTTTACTATATAGATAAAGCATAATCTACTCCAGAAAGGGTGTCGAACACCAAGTTCAGATACTCAGGCAGAGAGTGCGTGTATGGGTGTTCTCTTTATCGACACCCACACTCTGGAAGTGTTGAAAAAGAGTCATGAGAACATGTTGGAAAATATTGATTATGATAGATGTGCAATTATCATGGAACTAGAGATGTATTTTTCAAGCCAGATCGTTAGCATTACTAAGAACATGCTTATGCATAAGTTTTGTTGCAACAATTTTGTTCTATCAGCTTTCGTCTGAGATGGACGTTTGTGAAGTTTTTTTTCTGAAAATACATCCTTGTTTCTCCTCGAGTGCCATACAAAAATGAAACTTGGAAATTCCATATCTCAGTTATAAAATATTTTATAAGTAGATAAGAGCACAAAGCAATGAAAAAAAATTTCAGCGTTGCAGCATATTTCATAGAGCAACAACACAGAAAAAATATGTGTAGTATTCTCGCGCGTATCATCGTTTGATGATTGAAGCACAGTAAAGGTGTAGTATTTTGCGTACTGATTCCTATCGTATGAAGGAAGAAGTGAAAGAGCAAGAAAAATTCTAGATTGTGACAAGTATAAAAGAGCTCACAGGATCGAAACAGTTAGTATTTTATTAAGTTGAAGTACGGAAAGAAATATGGCATTATCTTGCACATCGCCAAAGAAGTCTACCGTCGTAAACTCAGTCAACGATGAGAAATTCGAAGAAATCTTCAGACCGAACGAGGATGCAATCCAATTAGTGGACAATGGGCGAACATGCGAAACGGTCAAACGATGGTCACATGGATGTACCCTTGTCATGCATTCATATTCGTCCGGTATTCACTGTATTCGACTACGACTAGATAATGGCTTTGCATTTTTGGGCATTCGCTCATGAAATATACCACCTGTACCGTTGGATATTGCTGGGGGTCGCTATGATTTGAGTCCTTCCACATACGGTTGGTCGACAACTGGTCATCGTGTTTCTAATGGAAGAGATAGAGTTAGTGGTCCGGCGAGAAAACAAAAAGATAATGAAGTATTTGCGTTGAAATTGAATTGTGATGAACACCAACTGAGTATAGTCAATGAAAGTGGCAAATACCAAGACGAAATGAAAGTAGATATTCTTCATGCTCCTTTTCCTTGGTGTCTCTTCGTGCAACTTTCCAGGTATGGAGGTCGTGTGTCGCTTGTATCACCGCCTTTTCCATTTACCAAACTATCTTTTGATGAAGTCATCCCTACACCGAATTTGTCAACTCCACAAGGTAAGTACCCAAATTTGAATTACGTTTGTGTATTTCTTACAGTACCAAATCTAAAATTGGTACTAATTTTTAATTTTGGGTGTCAAAATTATTTAAAATTTTTCTTCTTCAAAATTTTAATATCAGCAAACTTTCAAAATTCTTAGAGGCCTATATATTGATCAGTAGAATTGATTTATATCTCAGACGCCACTGAATTTGATTATGACTACGGAAACAAACAATTACTCTTGACCTTGTTTCAATAGAACATAAAAGTAGAAAGCAGCAATCGAAATATTACCTTGTTTATAATTAAGGCGATGGTGGCTAGTATGTAGATGAATCGGTGTGTGGAGTGTGGGTAAGTAAGAGAGGGAGGTCGTTTCTAACCATCGTCAACGCTTACATCCATACCCACACTCCACACCCTATTTTGTCGAAAGTATTTAGCAGAACGAAGATGATTCTCTGAAGATACAGTGCATGAACGGCAAAAGAACACTCCTTCTTATTAGTCGAGGGTGTAGGTCAAAGTCTTCCATTGACCCATACACTCACACCCTAAATTCTTAACAGTTTGTGTCTTGAATAACATTCGAAACGATTCAAATCGTTGCTGTTTGTCGTTTAGATGTGACACTATCTCCCACGTCAAACAATACCTCATTATCTGTACAGGAAAAAGCTAAATTACCGAAGTGTCGCGGCAATGTTTGTTCTCGTTGTGGCAAATGTTTTGATTGGTATTACGACGGCGATATTGACCTTGATGATGAACGTTTTAGCCGTGGCGAGTGTTATGACATATGTGATGAAAATCGTTGGCATCGTCGTCCTAATGGTCCTAGTGTAACGTGTTGCTACTTTTATAATGATCATCATGGTTACCTTGGTAATCTGAATGACTTTGATATTTGTCGTTGTGCCCGTTTCGATTAATAATGAACTCTCGATATGACATCTTGAATACTATCTGAATTAAGTTCGTAGCGAAAAATATGGAGATTCACAGCTATGAAAGTTCTGGTACTTTAACCAGAAATCAGACAAAGAGCTACTTAGTTATTATGGTTGAGTATGGTTGTTGTTGTGCGTGAGGGTTGGTTGTGGGTATGGATGAATACACAACTGAAAGCAACACCCACACCCCACACCCACACCCACACCCGCTTGCTGTTCGATCACTGAATGATGAAACGTCATAAAATGCTCTTCGTTTTTTTATGATTCTATATTTTCAGAAAGAAATGTTTACTAATGTGTTTTCAAAATAAAATTTGTCCGACACTTGAATGAAATTACAGTGTATACAAAGATTGTGTTTATTTGTTTATTTCATCAATTATGCACAATTAGTAAAATAAGAAAGAAACGGCTGCTCATATGGATTTAAAAGAGATACGATAGATTTTTTTCGTCAACGAATTGTATATAGGATATTGAGGCTAACGTTTATTTGATCAGTATTCATTTGCTCTCATGACTAAGCATCAAACTTGTATCTAATTAAGGTTCAAGTTCCGGACTTTTGTGCCGTTGCCTTAATGACGTTGCATAGTGAGGTTCAGAACTATCTTCATCGCTCATACTACTTTCTTCCGTTTCGCAGTCGAATTCAACATTTTTATTGTTGTTCCCATCACTCTGGACTACTACGTAGTCAAGCTCAAGATTTGAGTTATTGGGCGGAATACTGCGGATTACCATGTGGTCAAGTTCAGGTCTCTCTTTCAAGTTGTCTGGATAAAGAAACTTATAACAAGTAATTTCATAGTTCAATGGTGTGTATTGAAGCTCATGTTGAACCTGGGATTTTTCCACAGGTTGGGCATTGGCTGCAAATTGAAGATGATATTTTCTTTTATTTATCTTTGTAATATTATTTATGGTCACAATAATATCTTTGTGATCGAGTGGAAGTATTTTTCGTTTCATATTCAATGACTGTTCATAATACTCTAATGCACGATCAAGATCATTCAATTTATGATAAATGACTGCAATATTGTTCAATGTCATAGCAATATCAATATGATAGGCTGGTAAATATTGTTCTTGAATTTGTAGAACTTTGTGATAATATTGCAATGCGTCATTATACTTTCGAGTTTCTGTATATATGTTATCAATATTCATAAGTATTTTGGTTGATTTTATATGTTCTCTTTCATAATATATATTATATATTGCTAAAGATTTCATATATAACTCATATGCACGATCGTATTGCCCTTTTCGATGATAAACAAGACCTATATTTGTCAATGGTTTTGCTGAATCTTTCATTCTTATTGGTTTATCATTCATCATGAAGTTATAAGCCTGTTCATAGTATTAAAGTGCCTGCTTAAAATCGCCTTTATCATAATAGATCGTTCCAATTAGATTATAAATTGTTGCAATATCATCCTTTTTTGTATGAGCATCTAATAACAAATTTTGAAAATATTTCAATGCTTGATCATATTGTCCCATGTCAGCTAGTAATTTACCAAAAATAAGTTCAATACTTGTTTCTTCTTCTTCTTTTCTATTAAGTTCAATATATTCTTTAGCAATTTTTGTTCCTTTATTACTAGCTCTTAATTTAATTAACCATAGATTTAATTGAAAATCTTCTTTGATAGAAATTATTTCGAATGTTGATCCAAGATCGAATAAAACTTCTGATTCACTTGCATAAACACTAAATTCTGTAATATCAGCAAAAATAATTGTCTCTAACTCTTGTACATAGGTTAGTCAATAAGTTCTCGGACTTTCAAATATTTATTCATAGAAAAAACATTTTACTAATCTTTTTACAGTAAATGTTCAAAGTAGTCCACACGATGTTCAATACAAAGTTTCANTATTTAATCTTGCTGTTTATATACAAAAGCAAACGCAATTAAAAATATTTATTGAACAACAAACATGCATTAAAAATGAAATACAGTTTGAAAGGATTTTTGTAGTGTTCTGTTTATGATGATACGTTTACATCGGAAACAAATTATAGACGTGAACAATCATATATGAGTCGTACTGTTTTCACGAAGTTTTGAAAATATTCGAAGTTCAAATGCAATATAATAACATAGTACCTTATGAATGATGCTAGTTGAATGTCTTTATATAGACCACGACATCGAATGATGATAAACCTTATTCGAAATTTTATAATAGAAAAAATCGAATTTTTTCTAATATATATTCATATTATAAAATATGATTTAAAGCATCGAGATGTTTTTTATGTGTTAATAACGAGACTAAGCGTATTCTATCGAATGACACTATGCTTAATTTGCTTTGAAGTAGTCAATAACTTCTATATCCATGTTATGTTTAATCTTCAGTAAGACATTTATAATACATGTATGTGTGAGTGCAACGTCTCTCAATTCAAAATCTCGATATAATGTCACAACAAGCATTATACTTCACAGCAAGATGATTTTTATTTAAGGAATTCGTCATTTGTTTTTTTTTAGACTTATTATCGATTCCCATTTTCATAAACTATGATTATAATAGTCAACCAATTTTATTGAGGATTCTTATTCGACGATTGATTATTTATATGCTTGTTATTTGATCATTAAGAATAATACAATGATATGAAATTTCAATGAAACTATAGCGTATTAAAAAAATTATTCTTATTTATTTATTTCATCAAATATATACAAATGGTGAAAAAAAACAAGAAAAAAAATTGCTGACATGAATTAGAAAGATATAGGATACATTCTTATCATGATTATATGGCATATAGAATATTGAATTTGATGTTTGTTTGATCAATTATTATCATAACAAAGCATCAAACATGTATTTAATTACGATTAAAGTTTCGAGCTTTAGTACTGTGGTTTTAATGATATTGTATAGTGAAGTTCAGGAGTATCTTCATCGATCATACTATTTTCTTCCATTTCGTAGTCGAGTGGATGAGTTATATTGTTTCTTCCAGGTATCGATGATATTGTCACGCATGGATAGTGAAGCTGAGGATTGAAGAGAGGATTTGATTGTTCACGAATAACTGGGAGATGAAGCTGAGGTCCCCCAATCAAGTTGTCTGGATCAAGAGACTTATCAGAATTAATGACACTAATCATTGGTGTGCTTTGAAGTTTATGTTGAATGTGGAGTTGTTTTTGTGCAGATTGAGCAGTACTTGTAAATTGAAGATGAGATTTTTTTTTATTTATCTTTGCAATACTATTTCTGGTCATTTGAACATCTTTATGATCAGATGGAAGTACTTTCTCTTTCATATTCAATGATTGTTGATAATATTCTAATGCATGATCAATATCATTCAATTTATGATAAACAACTGCAATATTGTTCAATGTCATAGCAGTATCAATATGATAAGATGGTAAACATTCTTGTTGAATTTTTAAAACTTGTTTATAATATCCCAGTGCATGAGCATATTTTTTAGTTTCTGTAAATATATTACCAATATTCATAAGTACTCTAGTTGATTTAATATGTCCTGTTCCATAATAATCATTATATATATTTAATGAGTTTCTATATAATTCATATGCAAGATTATAATGACCTTTTCGATGAAAAAGAAGAGCTATATTTGTTAATGGTTTTACTGAATCTTTTATTCTTGCTGGTTTATCATTTATCATTAAATTATAAGCTAAATCATAGTATTGAAGAGCATGTTCAAAATTCTCTTTATCATAAAAAATTGTTCCAATAAGATTATTAATATTTGGAATATCATTCTTATTTGTATAACTATCTAATAATAAATTTTGAAAATATTTTAATGCTTGATCATATTGTCCCATATCAGCTAATAATTTACCAAACATAAGTTCAATACTTGTTTCTTCTTCTTCTTTTCTATTCAATTCAATATATTCTTTAGCAATTTTTATACCATTATCAGTAGCTCTTAATTTAATAATCCATAGATTTAAATGAAAATCTTCTTTAACAGACATTATTTCAAATGTTGATCCAAGATCAAATAAAACTTCTGATTCATTTGCAAAAACACTTAATTGAGTAATATCAGCAAAAATAATTGAATTTAATTCTTTGACATTACATTCAATTTCATATAAAACTGGAATAATATTAAAATGTATAGGTAGTTTTTTAGCAAATTTAATTGCAACATTTTTTGAACGACTTGTTGATAAGAAACCATTTGTTGATATTAAACAACCTTGATTTTTTTTAAAATTTTCAAGTTCTTTTTCATCCATTTTAAATCCACGATAAACAATTAAAAATTGTTCATCTTGTTTTTTTAATTTTTCATATTCATTTGCAAGATTATATGATAAATCAGCAATAAAAAATCTAAATATACGTAATAATTCAATATCTTCAGTTCTTAATGCTTTATTAACTATTTTATAAAGAAATGTTTGTTTTGTATACCATTTAATAGCCATATGTGATTGATAATCTTGTTCAAATTCTCGAATATATTTTAATTCTTTTTCATTGCCATAATAATAATTTTTACAATATTCAATCATTTGTTTTTTAGCATGATTATTTTTAGGTAATCTTAATATAACATCTTTAAACATTTGAAACCATAAAAATTCAGCAGATTCTTTTGTTAAATCTCTTGTCGATTTTTCTTTGTGTTGATTGAATAAATTAAATGTTTCAAAATATTTTTCAATAAGAATAAGATTTTCTTTAATAGAATTAATTAATTCTTGACGTTTTGTATAAATTCCAATTATTTTTGTATACATTCCTAATAGATATTGATATTTATCAGGTTTAAAACAAAAAATAAATATTGAATCGATTTGTTTTAATTGATGAATTCTTATTAAAATAAATGAAGCATCTCTTCCAGATGTAACAAGAAGAATTTTTTCATTTTTAATTGATTCAATATAATTGATACAAGATTCTAAATCTGAATGAAATACAACAAAATTATTGATTTCATAGAATTCTTTCATTGTTTTTTTTGTATCATTTGTTGTATCAATATTTGAATCATACCAAATTAATCTTGTACTTTCAAGATTCAAATCTTTAGTTGTTGTTGATGCTGATAATGAACTATCATCATATTGTTCTTGTTGTTTCCAATCGTTCCCATTATTATATAATGGTATAACTGTCTTTTTAAATGTATTTTTCGATTGTTGTTCTTCTGTATTCATTTAAGTTCTTAAATAGAAAAATGCATACTTTTTATTGAATAACCAAATTAATTTATATATTATAAGATGTCCTTTACTTTTTTTTTTTGAATAACTTAAGATTTAAGATTTTTATCAATCGAAAGAGAAGATTTGAGCACTTATTTTTCTCTAATGATTTATAATAAACAATTATTTTAAACCTAATTATTTTCAAAATGTATATAAAATGAGCTGCTATTTTGATAGAAATAGAAAAAGCTAAAATCTGAAGCTGAAAATATAATGTGAGTTCTTAATTTTCGTTATATTTCCAGCGAACTATCATCGAATATTTATCATTTATCTCAAATAGATTACCACAACAACATCCGCAAATAAAATCTCTATTTGAAAATTTTTTTTTGACATGATATAAATTATAGATTCTATAGTTGAATACTATTGTTTTTCTCTTCCAGGATCGTATCATCAAAAATAATTTCGATTAGTTAAACATAATAAAAAACAGTTTTATGATGAATCTGATGACCAGAATATATTTTAGGTATGGGCAAAAAAAAGAGAACTTCGTAGGAATTCACAATGGATTCTATTTATCAGGTTTATCTCAAAATATTGTTCGTTGTGGTAATACAAAATATATTCTGGTCACCGGATTCATCATAAAATTGTTTTGATTATGCTTAGCTAATCGAAACTAAACAATTTCAATAGATATAATTTTGAAAGTTTTATTATTGATAATTAGATCTTTGAAGAGAAAACAAATGAGATTAAACTACAGAATATATGATTTACTTCATGTCAAAAAAAATTCAGTTTGAGAATGAATTGATCGTAACTAATTTGAAGAAAATTATAGAGATTCAATAGTTCGATCGAAATAGAATAAAAACTAAGAATGTACATCATATTGTCAACGACAAATTTGAAGTCTTTATATCTTTATCAAGATGGTAGCTCATTTTTATATAGATTTTGAAAATAATTTCTTTTAAAATGATTATCTGTTATAGATCCTTAGAAAAAAAAATAATTGCTCCAGTCTTCTCTTTCGATTGATGAAAATCATAAGTCTCCAGTTATTCAAAATATAGTGAAACACATTCGATTTTGAAATGGATAATAGAATGTAGATGGGAAATGTGCAATGTGACTCTTTTGTATATTCTGTGTGAAATATGTTCACATGAATCACCATTATCTAATTACTTCGAAATCTCGATTTTTATACTTTAAATTTTTATTCTAATAATACTTGAAAACTTAGAACTATACAGTTGCGACAAAAATTATTCATACAATATCAAGAATGATAGTATTTTGTTTTAAAATCGTAACATAGAAGAAAGAACAAGTAAAAATGTTGTTAATCTACTATTATAAAACTGTGATTATTCATTTATCTTTGTTAATTCTTATTGATATTATTTAAAAAAGCGAACTACCATCTGATATGCTCTAAATTTCCTAACGCTAATAATTGAATTTCTGTTCCACATACTCACTAATCTACACTTCTTCTTTTATCATTTTGTCTTCGAAAATTTTATCGATACCGTTTTAAAAAACACACAAAAAAGACATCATTTTCGTTAGAAGATGCATTTCAAAAACATTTTCTAGAGTACGATTAGACTTAGATTTTTGAAAAATCATTTTATTTTATCAAAACTATTGAAAAGATTTTCACAAAATTTGATTCTACTATAAGAGAAAGTATAGGAATCTTCGCATCAGTCATAAACTATAAATATTTAAAGTACGGTTCGACGTACAAAAAATCTCAATTTTAGAGAAAATAATTGTCAAATTTAGAAAAACGAAATCTTATAATTCGAAGGTTAGCATTAAAAAAAATTCCAATTGAAAATTTTCTTCTCGAAACATCTTAACGTAAAGCTTCATTTTTATTGAATAAGAATATGTACGTACTCAATTGGATAGAGACATTCGGCAAACATTAAGTTCACGTCTTACTTGTTCGTTCCTTTCGAGAAGGATTTTATAAATAAATTGTTTTACACGGATGAGTCACAAAACATGTCATTGTCCTTGAAATAGTTTGACTCATTTTTTTTTATTACGCTATGCATGATTTTTTTAAGATTCATTTATTATTCAAGATGGAANACTATATGAAACAACACCTTGTCCATAAGCAGCAGTTAATTCATAATGCATCTGTATAGCATTTAAACCTAATAACCAACAAGTTTTTACATATAAGCGAATACAAAGTTTATGCATCTGAGAACAGAGCTGTTGAAAAAATTGATTAAAGATTTGTCATAATAGACACTTGTAAAACTTCGTATTGGTATTTTAATGCATAACAGATTTCACTACTAGAATAGGCCAACATCAGGAATAAAATCAATCAGGATGAAATTTTAGAGCACTATTACGAGAACTTTTTGACTACCCTATGTATATTACATTCAATTTCATATAGAACTGGAACAATATCTGAACGTTTGGGCGATTTTTTAGCAAATTTAAGTGCAACATTTTTTGAACGACTTGTTGATAGGAAACCATTGGTTGATATTAAACTACCTTCATTTTGTTTTAAAGTTTTATGTTCTTCTTCTACCATTTTTAGTCCACGATAAAGCATAAGAATTTGTTCACCTTTGTTTTTCAATTTTTCATATTCAGTCGCAAGATTCATTGATAAATCAGCAATAAAAAATCGAAATATACGTAATTGCTCAATGTCTTCAGTTCTCAATGCTTTGTTTACTATTTTATAGAGAAATGTCTCTTTTGTATACCATTAATAGTCATATTCGATTTATAATCATGTTCAAATTCACGAATAAATTTTAATTCTTTCTCATTTCCACGATAATAATGTTGACAAAATTCAATCATTTGTTGTTTTGCATGATTATCTCTTGGTAATCTCAAAATGACATCTTTAAATATTTGAAACCATAGAAATTCAGCTGATTCTTTTGATAAATCTCTTGTAGATTTTTGTTTATGTTGATTATAGAAATTAAACGTTTCTATGTTTTTTAACAAGAGTAATATTTTCTTTAAGAACATTAAGTAATTCATGACGTTTCATATAAATTCCAATTAGTTTAGTATATGTTTGTAATAGATATTGATATTTTCAGGTTTTAAACAAAAAATAAATATTGAATCAATTTGTCGTAATGCATGAGCTCCTATTAAAATATTTAAAGCATCTCTTCCAGATGTAACAAGAAATATTTTTTCATTTGTAATCGATTCAATAAAATCAATACAAGCTTTTAAATCAATATACAATACAATAAAATTATTGATTTCACGTAATTCTTTCATTGTTTCTTTCGTATCATTAGTTTTACCCATATTTGAATCATACCAAATTAATCTAGTACTTTCTAGATTTTGTTGTAGATTCAAGTCTTTAGCTACCGTTGATAAAGAGGCCGATGCTAGTGAATGTTTAAGATCCGGTATGTTTGAAGAGTAATAAAATGTAGACTTACCGACACCTGTAGTTGTTGCTGAAGAAGAACCAGCATGAAGGGTGGGGTGTGGGTGGGTATGGGTGTGGGTGTGGGGTGGGTCTCGGTGTCTGACGATAGTAGACAAAACCAATCCCACACCCACACCCACCCACACCATCTGTGCTCATAATAGTTCTTAAAAAGAAAAGTGCATACTCTCTATTACATAATGAAATAAGTTTATATACAGGATGTAGAATGTGTATGTGCCTTTTGTATTCTATGTGAAATACGCTCACATATTCACACACGCATGCCCACATCGTCACTTGTACCATTATCTATTTACCATTAAATCTCGATTTCTATACCTCAAATCTTGTTTCAGTACTTTTAAAAACTTATAACTACAGTGGGAACAAAAAGCATTCGTACGATTTCTTTTTTTGATTAAAGCTAGTCAAAATACAAACTTTTTAAGACTGGATGAATATAGAAAAGAATCGCCATGTCTTCTAGTATTTACATTATAAAAATCATGTAGGCTTTAGTGGTATAAATTATTCATACAATTTCAAGAACGATGACATTTTTTGTTATTCATGGTTTAAAAGATGTTATTTACACGTACATGTATAAAGTCATTACAGATAGGAAAGAAAAAGTCATACGTGCTTAATTTACTGTTGTAGAACTGTGAATGTTTATTTATCTTTCTTAACTCTCATTGATGTCATTTAAACATGTGATTTGTCATCTCATTCTCTCTGAAATCCATAACGTTAATGATTGAACTTTTCTTTATGATGCTAAACTATTTCGCTTTCTCGTTAGGCTATGTTCGCCTTAACATGTGCCCCTTCTTCTATCATCCTGCCTTCGGGAACGTTATAGCTATCAAGTAAAAAAGCAGAAAAGATGTATCATTCTCGTTATGAGGCGCATTTAAAAAATATTTTGAAAAAATTCCAATTTACAATTTTCTTGTAGGAACGTCTCAAAGTAAAGATTCGCTCTTTTGGAATAACTAAGTGCACTTACTCCATTGAATTGAGTCATGAAGTAAACAGTAAGCTCATGTCTCACTTTTTCTTTCCTACCTGTAATGACTTTATAAATAACTTCTTTTTAATCATGAGTGACAAAAAATGTCATCGTTGTTGAAATTATATGAATAATTTTTGTCTTTAAAACATGCATGATTTTCAAAGATTAATCATTATTCGACATAGAGACAGTCAAGAGTGGTGATTTTTATAATGTAAATACTAGAAGCCGTGGTGATTCTTTTTAAATTCATCAAGTCTTTTAAAAGTCTGTATTTTGACAATCTTTGGTCAAGAAAGAAATTGTATGAATAATTTTTGCCGTAACTGTATGTCTAAGTCGTTATTTCTATATTTTATAACCGTCATATTTCCGTTCAGTTAAAAGATGGACTGACAATATTCTTTCCAGTATAGTGGCAGTACAGGGTGGGAAATAATATTATTCAAGGGGGGTACCGCTTTAATTTCAAATAGAAGTTATGATGAATTTTATACCAAATGAAAGCTCATCAAAAATGGGGTTTATTGGTACTAAATGATGAGGATTATGAAAACCTTTTAATGCGGATCTTAATAAATTTTCAGAAATTTTATACTTTTTTTGGGGTGGAAAAGTAAAATGCAGTAATTCAAAAACGGAATAAAATGCTTTTCTTGGATATTTTTACATGGTTCGATAGAGCTTGTCGAGCTCTACAAAACTGTATATACGAAAAAATTTTTAAACAGAGTTGTTGGGTTAAAATTCACTGAAAACTGTCCAAAGAATGTACCAAAAAACTCACATTTTGTACACTTTTTATAGTGAAAAAACTGGTCTTTTTTACACTAAATTTAGCTGTTTTCCATTAGTATCCTTATGTACGATTTTTGAAAATATACTCATTCGATGCAGTTTTTCACGCTGCATCAAATGAGCATATTTTGAAATGCCACAGAGAGTAAAAATAATCAAAAAAAGTTAATTATATTGAAAATTCGGGTGTTTTTCTTCCATATAAAAAATATGACTTTTTTAACGTTTTTTAAGATTTTACAAATAGTTTTTGAATTTTTTAACACAAAAAAATGACTTAGGAAATTTTTTCATATATACAGTTTTGTAGAGCTCGATGAGCTCTATCCAACCATGTAAAAATATCCAACAAAAATATTTTAATCCATTTTTCAATTACTTGCACTTTACTTTTCCACCCCCAAAAAGTATAAAATTTCTGAAAATTTATTGAAGTCGACATTAAAAGGTTTTCATAATCCTCATCATTTAGTACCAATAAACCCCATTTTTCATGAGCTTTCATTTGGTATAAAATTCATCATATCTTCTATTTGAAATTATAGCGGTACCCCCCTTGAATAATATTATTTCCCACCCTGTACACGATATATCCGTTTGCTGAAATCCCGGACTCTTTTCACAAAAACATCCGTTGAAACCTCTGTCATAGCATGTTTTAATTCAGCTATTAATATCAATTTTGTTTTGATTAACATTCGATGCGCACTTGTAGCTGAGATGTTCAGCTAACGCGTCAATTTTCTTTTTGAAACTCGTTGATGGTTTTTTCACTGTAAGTTGGCTTTTTTTATAGCTGTATATGAATGAGTACCCCGTGATCGACCTGGTAGATAAATCGATAGAACCAGTTTTGTCTGACGCTTGCAAAGTACGACTTGTCGAAGACCTTTAATTTTCATTTCTTTTCAAATATATCTGTCACAGAAAACAACCACTATATATAGTATTGAAAATGGAACATTCTAGAATATCACCTAAGAATTTTATGACATGAACAAAGGGATCAGAAGACAATAGAAAGTTCAGGAAGGTAGGCGAAACATTGGACAAGGAACGTTGCTGTTGAAAGTGTAGAGGATTTTAGCAAACGAATTGTATCGTGTATTGAAAAGTGGTGGTGATTATATACATTAAACAAAATGTTCTCATTTTATAGAATTTTTCATGGCGCAGCTTTTCACAAAAAAATAAAGATCCAACAACAAAAACTTATCTGAACTAAAAGCAAAAAACAAAGTGATCGATTCTTTATGAACTACCTGATATACTTGAGAGGTGATGAGGGTTGCCACGCCTATTACTAAGAACTAATCTTTGATTAGTAATAATACAGTTAGTTTGTCCTTCTTAACAAAAATAAAATAATATTATCTTAGATGCCTTACATAAAATCAAACCGATTATTTTAAAATACATTTTCAAACGTGCTAAAGGTTCATTTTTTTTATTTTTAAAAAAGAGACAGCTTATTAAACAATTTATTTAAAAGATGTTCGAGACATAACGCCAATATCATTTTGTGTTACTTTGAATGTGCACGATCGTTATAATATCCTGGAATCCATTGCAAATAATGTTCTATTCCAGGAAAAAATTCATGAGGTTGTTGACAACAACGATAAAGACTTGTATCAAATTGTTGATTTTCTAGTTTCTTTCTTCCATCTGTTTTTGATCTTGGTGCATCTACAGAAAAAAATATTGAATAAGTCCATTTATTTTAACATCTCGGACAATCTGATCTTTGTTTGGAACTTAGTAATTTACACTAGACTTTCTAACTAATACTGAGAAGGTTTTGACATAGCTTTCAGCTCTCTGTAATGACATCTAAGAAAGTTGTTCATTAAACAAAAAGTCAACAAGAACTTGTTTTTTAGCAAATCGAAATTCTCTATTGAGTTCTATTCCATACAGGGTGGGCCATAAGTAACACCCTGATAAAAAATTCAAATATCTCCACTCATATGACTACACAAAGAGCTGAAATTTTTACCAGTGATAGGGGCTAACTTAAAGTTTTTTTTCATATAAGAAACGTGGGTCAGTGAACGTTACTATGTAGTAAGATCATCATCAATAAGGATTTTTCACTTATTACGAGCTCTGCAAAACACTGTGGCGTGATTCTAAGGCGATTTCAAAGTTCTTTTTCTAAATTTTCATCTGAAAAAATCTAAACAAATTTTATTATATGGACAATAGTGAACGCAACCTTGAGCTACAGAACAGCTCAACTCAAATGTTCAAATTGATGTCCACTAGCATCAATACACCTTTGAAGTCTCTCAGGCACTGATTCACAAACTTTCTTGCATTGATCAGGATCCATAGTTGAGAAGGCTGAGATGATTGATTGTTTGAGATCAGATAAGTTTCGAGGCTTAGTTTTGTACACAATATCCTTCAGATAACCCCACAAGAAAAAATCAGCTGGGCTGAGATCAGGAGACCTAGCAGGCCAGTCAATTGCACCTCGACGTCCAATCCACTTCGCTGGGAAATTTTCATCAAGCCAATATCGAACATCAGAAGCATAATGCGCGGGTGCGCCATCTTGCATAAGAAAGATCCAGTCATTATCTAATAAACCACAAAATATTAGTTGTTAAATAGAAACAATCAATACATTGCCCGGTAAATCACAAAATATTGGATAGAAGTAGTTGTTCAACATCGTGAGATAACTTTGACCAGTCACCGTATTATCAAAGAAATAAGGTCCAATTACACCTTCAGACCAAATACCAGCCCACACACTAAAACCTTCAGCTTGCATTGTTTGCTCCCATGTGACATTTGGATTGTCAGTAGCCCATTAGACAGAATTATGACGATTAATATGACCATTGGGTTTAAATACCGCCTTATCCGACCAAATGACACGATGAATAAGATCAGGTTCGTTTTGTAGGAGGAATAAAAACGTTTCACAATATTCAACTCGTCGTTCAAAATCATCTTCATTGAGTTCATGAACTAGTCGAGGAATATATGATTTATAGCCTAAGGCTTTGTAGATA